GAGTGGACTTGCTCCCTGCACCCCAGGTGGTGCGCTTTCTCTTTTTTGTTTCAGAACACAACTGCTCTTTTTGCTGCTCTTCACTGTGCTCTGTAGCAGCTGTGGAACCCTATTCTATGTTAAAGACTGAAGAGCTGGACAGTCTCCAAATTCATGAAGATCTACATTGAATAATGAATGGAGAAAAACTAATAGCATTTAACATGGCACCTTTTAAACTCTTGGTGTCAGTCCTATTTCACAAGCATGTTGAGGCACCAGGCAAGTACAGGGCCCCTGCTTTAGGCACTGAGCAAGGATGGGCATGAGCAGCGTGGCCGCCCAACAGCTAGTGCCTAAGATGGCCAAGAGCCAACTGCTTCACTTTACACGCTGCAACCTTACTTTCAGTAAATTCTACCCTAGTTTGACTCTGGAGCAACACAATGTATATGTTCCCATTCACACAGTGTTTTATATTTTAAAAAAATTTATAATACTAACTGCAGGCTTCATTTTACTCTTCTAGAGAAGGGTAAATGTATTTAAGTGCTGATTTTTCCAAAGCTAATTCTGGTTGTTAATATCCTACCTTTTTTAAAAAAGTTTTTTACATCATTTTGTGCCCTTTTCCATCTCAGTTGTAATCCTGTGGACTTCCCATCACCAAATCCCCCGTGTGCCATCACCATAGTCCAATGCACTCCCCTCCCCACCCCCACATTCTTACTGCCTCTTTTCTCGTTTCATATATCATTACATCGAAATCGATCTCGCTTCTTTTAGAGCCAGGTACTGGTTTCATGTATGGTTGTACTGAAAGTTTCTTAATTTATTTCCCATTAATAGACATTTGGAGAAGCTCACTGGCTCAATATTTTACAGTACTGTGTCTTGGTGTGTTTGTGTATTTCTGTTGGATAAAATTCCTTGAAGTGTAACTGATGGGTCAAATGGTGCGTATATTAAACCATTAACAGATACCAGCAAAATAATCCTCCAAAATAAAATGCAAGTTAAAGAGCTCATGAGTAGCAAACAACAAGTGTTTCTCATCTTTGCCAAGAAACCACCAAAAAGGTCAAACTGATATTTTAATTACATTCCCTTACAAAAAAAAGAACATTTGTTGGAGTGTCCATAGGACCCAGAAATCCCACTCCTAGGTATCTACCCAAAAGACACACAAACACTGATCCAAAAGGATACCTGCACCCCCATGTTTATTGCTGCTTTATTTACAACAGGAAAGACACGGAATCAACCCAAATACCCAAAAGTAGATGACTGGATTAAAAAAATGTGGTACAGGCCCTCCCTGGTGGCGCAGCGGGTTAAAGTACTGCACTGAGAAGCTTAAGCCACTTCCGCATGAGTTCGATTCCCGCCTGCCCCCGGAGGAGACCACATGGCGTGGCAGACCTCTCCTGACCCGCCCACTGCTCGCCTCAGCAGTGTACTTCGTCGATCTGCCTGTTCTGCACCCCACTCTGTCTCTGGTGAATCCTCTCACCCTCCGCATCTCTGGCCTGTACCCCAGTTCTATATGAATAAATAAATAAATCTTAAAAAAAAAATGTGGTACATATATACAATGGAACATTACTCAGCAATCAAAAAAGTTTATAAACTCATGCCTTTTACAGCAAGATGGGTGGAGCTGGAAGGGATCATGCTTGGTGCAATAAGCCAGAAAGAAGGAAAAATACCAGATGGTTTCACTCATAGCAGGAATATAAAGGACGAGGGGAGAAAATAACAATAATAATGAACACCAATATACCAGAGACATTGTACGGGGATGGAGTGAGGAATGGGATCAAAAACGGTGGGGGGAGGGAAGTGCACTGGAATATGGTGATGGCACACGGGTGATTTGGTGATGGGAAGCCCACAGGGGTTACAACTGAGATGGAAAAAGGCACAAAACGATGTAAAAATAAACTACTATATTAGTTTTTAAAAAGAACATTTGTTTCATTTCTTTCGTCTGTAAATTGTTCATATCAGTTGCTGTCTTTTTCCATTGTGCTGTTGATCTACTTTTCTTACCTTTATTTTAAAAAATGATTGGGGATAACTATACCTTGCAAACCCTAACCGAAAGCCTGTTAGTGATGAAATACAAAGGTTAAATTAACTTAGCAGATCTAAGTTTAGTCTGTAAGGAAATAGTTTTATAGCCTATTCTAGGGTAACTATATTGTATTTGCCTTGATCTTCTATTTGGATAACTTGAAATGACCTAAATTTCATCAGTGTTTTCCAAACATGAAAGATTTCTTGGAAGCATTGAATTTCAAATATTCAAAAGCTAAGTATCTTTATTAAGTAGATTCTTTGAGAGGGACAAAAGAATAACAAAAGATAATCTATGGCAAATTCTGGTCATTTAAGCTAGAACTCTTTACGAAATTACCAACTCTGTAAGGTGGATGGGAAAGTCAGCAGAAAATTCCAGCGTTCTGCCTGCCTGCCTGCAGGGTATATACTCAATTCTGTTTCCAGGTAAAAACTCAATTACTTTAATAGACATTAACGGATTTTGGTTGCTGTTAAGGGAATTAAATCACATAGTGACACCCCACAAGTTTTTTGCTGTCAAAGTCAACCAGAGATTATCTCCTTAGGCACTGTAAAGATAACTTCGGTGAAAGGAGGAATTTTTATAGCCATTTACATGCTCTTAGACACAGCTGTCCTTCTTTCACAATTTTTAGAATCTTCCTTCTTCCTACCTTCAGTTCACTTTCAGCAATCAGTTTCACTCCGGACTATGCATGAAGTTGTGAACTTAAACCCGGGGCGTTCAACCTGGCACGACTGACACCTGAGGCCAGGTAACCCCTTGCTCTGGGAGGACTGTCCTGAACACTATGGGCTACTTATCAGCGTCCCCCATCTTCAGATACCAGTAACGCCACCACCAGTGTGTCAACCGAAAATATGTGCAAACATTGCACAATGTTCTCCAGGAGGCAGACTGCTCCACCAGCAGCCAGCTGAGCAGCAGAGTTAATCTAATTTGCAGTTGATAGTGGCTAAGATTAATGTTCTTAGTGTGCTTACCTGGGCTTGCTAACTTTCCTGTAATGGGAATTTTTATTTAATAGAAAAAAAGGCAACAGAGGAAACCAAAGAAAATAAAAAAGTGTCAATAGGGGGAAAGAGAACTCAAACCCAGAAAATTTTCAGGAAGCACTTTTTTTAAAGGTGAAACACCCACCACCGACAGCTAGAACCATGTGCCAGGTACCTTGCAGGCCCCAGCCCTTGCACTCATGCATCAACTCAGCAGTTCAGGAGAAGCATTGGAGAAAAGCATCGGACAGAAAATGTGAGAATGCAAAACAAATTAAGAATAAAAAACACTTAATTTTATTTCTTGGCTTACAGAGTTATGTCACTATTGTGATGCTAAAAGGTTTTATTACTATGAATTCTAGTCAAAATTTTTGAGTTAATTTACAGTTCTTGACTATTCTAATTTATCCCAACTTTTCACTATTAAATAGCTCAGAGTAGCAAGAGCTGACTCAAAATGTGTTGAAATGAAAGAGCACAGGAAGGAAATCCCCAAAATTATGAAAAGCAGTCAAATAAAGAGCTCAAAAACACATTTAGCAAAATGACTGTTAGAACCTGAAAACCAAAGACATTGGTCAAACTAAGTATCAAGTAAAAGGCAGATTTGTTCTGAATTTGCCTTCTGTAGTTTCCATTTCAAACATTAATATAAACAAACCTCACTTATCCAGAATTTGGCCCAGCAGACCCCAATCAAGTTTACTTAAAAAAATTAAAATATGGGCCCTCCCTGGTGGCTCAGCGGGTTAAAGCACTGCACTAAGAAACTGAAGCCACTTCCGCATGAGTTCGATCCCCGCCTGCCCGGAGGCGACCACATGGCGAGGCAGGCCTCTCCTGACCCGCCCGCTGCTCCCCTCAGCAGTGTACTTCGTCGATCTGCCTGTTCTGCTCCCCGCTCTGTCTCTGGTGAATCCTCTCACCCTCCACATCTCTGGCCTGTACCCCAGTTCTGTACGAATAAATAAATAAATCTTTAAAAAAAAAAAAAATTAAAATATGCTGGCACACAAGATTAGAGCCTTATCTTTTAACCCAGTTTAAAAGAAAAAGATTTAACCTTAAAGGTTTTAACATAAACAGTAGTAATTACAAATTGCCATGTACAAAAAGTACAAAGTATTATAGGAGTTTGTCATATTAAAGCAAATCTTAAGAAGATTTATATCAAAATGCTTTCTGCTGATAAATATTACTGTTTTAAAACAATGTGTAAGATACTCTTGAGTTTGACTAGTAAAACGAAATATTCTTAAGTAGCAATATCTTATTAATAAAACTTACTAAAAAGCATGTTATTATCTCAAATGTATATAATTACTTAAAATAATTTTAAATTGCAAATTTAAAATAAGTCTCCTTTTCTCCTAAGATTCTTACCTTTCCATTTTTATGCAGTCCAACAGATTAACTAATTATTACTTCCACGGAGATGTTGCAAAGTACCAAGATATTATCATGCAGCACCAACACTAAAACAAGTTAGTTTGAGCAGAACTAATTTTCTGTAGTGCTCCCCTTTCTAGATGGGGGAGATTAACAACTGTAAATCCAATAAATCTAGTTGTAAAGTAGATCATCTCAAAGTAGAAGCAAACTTATGAGTGTAATGCTTGCTTTCGGTACCTCACTTAGTTTTCATTTCTCAGATGACTTTTCGTGAGAAACAATACCAACAGCAAACAAAAGCTTGAAAGGAAGATCCCCACAAGTTTCAAAATGACACTGTTAGTATAACAAGAAAGGCTGACACATCCCCAAAGCACTGATCCACGCCATCATGCATTGCAGCTGAAGGTTAACACCCAACTCCCAGTCTCTAACTATGTTATCTTCACAAATCAAGCAAGGACTTGAAATCATCTCACGTGCAACAGTCTTTACATAACATCCCACTTTATCCATGCCACAAAAATGGTAAATTTAGTAGTTACCAATAAGTAAGTTGGGATTCAAAAGGACTAAAGCCTTAGACTGATCTTTATCATAAGATATCCTCAGACAAACCTCCCCATTCTTCATTCTGGCTCTATAAAAATTAAGGAGCAGAGAAAACTGTAAGTGCCTGGTGGTACAAGGAAAATGCACCTATATTTCCTTTGTCATTATACATGTATGTTTATAAAATAAATCCAACTATACCCCCCACCCCGGCAATCTAACTTAAAACTGGCATTTAATTAATGGGGGAGGAAATGTTCAAGGTACTAGAAAAAATGTCAATTTAGCAATCTCAACATACTGCACTTTAATAATTTCAGAGTAAGTACCAGTGGCAGGTTAAGAAAACATGTTTTAAATTCCAATAGTCAAACATTAAAAATTAGGTAATGGACCAATTTTTCTGGGCTTTGTCCCTAATCTAATCATGTATTTATACAACCAAATACTAAAAGGAATAAACACAGAGTTCAGTCTACAAATATCAAAACCAAGTAATTAAGCTAAATAAAATATATTATTTACCCATCATGTCTGATATTTTAGCAATTATTTTTCCAATGCACATTTATGTAATATCCTTATTACTGTCTTTACTACACTAATAGAAAATCTACCTCACCCACTGACTGCCATTTGCCTATGAAATGAAAGATATCTCTGCATGAACTACCTGATGTTTACACACAATGGAAAAATGGAAAATTTACAGAAGTTTTACTGAAGAATATAAACATTCTTAAGGATAGAAATACACACTTTACAATTTAAAAGAAGTGAAATCCAAGTATTTGTGATTTGCATATCTTTAAGTCAACATATTTTTCATTATAAATTTAGTCATCTTTGGTGCTTAGAAATAATCAATTCAAGGAAAAGACTTCATACTACAGAGAAAAACACAACATATGAAAAGCTAGGTTAATAATCAATTAGCTAGAATTTCTGCAGATTTCAGGCTGTGTAATCTGTCCAGTTACATTCACAATCTTGGAAGCAAAATCATTTCATGACATACACTAAGTCAATAATAAGCCCCAAATTAAAAGACTCCAAAAAACCTACTACAGATGCAAGTGTTTATGACAAATCCAACATAAAATGATTTGAAAATATTTATACATCCAACTTTAAAATTCCAGCTACTGATAATTTGGACAATGAAAATTCCCAGCCATGGGGCCCTCCCTGGTGGCGCAGCGGGTTAAAGCACTGCACTAAGAAACTAAAGAGCCGCTTCCGCATGAGTTCGATTCCCGCCTGCCCCGGAGGTGACCACATGGCATGGCAGACCTCTCCTGACCCGCCCGCTGCTCCCCTCAGCAGTGTGCTTAGTCGATCTGCCTGTTCTGCTTCCCACTCTGTCTCTGGTGAATCCTCTCACCCTCTGCATCTCTGGCCTGTACCCCAGTTCTGTACGAATAAATAAATCTTTAAAAAAAAAAAAAATTCCCAGCCTGCAGAATAAAAATGGCATCTGTCTTAGGAAATCTACTCTGTCCGACAGGAATACCTCCAGTACTATAGGTTTGCTTACTGCTGAGAAACCTAAAACACAATGTTTAAACCTCCCAAGACACCACCTGACAGGGAGGAACAGAGCACAGCAGTCAAGGCTTCAAAGCAGATCTGGGGGTGGAATCCTGGTTTTGCCAGTTGCTAACTGTGTGAGACATGCTTCAGTCCAGTCACGGGGCCCTCCCTGAAGCTCTTTTTCATCTGTGATAAAAAGGCTCTCCTGGACCCGTTCTCAGGACTTTGAGGGTTTGCATGGGATGCCTCACATTTAATCACTCAATAAGCACTGACTATCATCATGGTTCTTTTTTGCTACCATGGTGTCCAGACAGGTACTTGCTTAGCAATTTGTGGAATGCCTTTTCTCCTCTTACTACATCTTTTATAAACGTAGTATTAAGATATCCATATATGTGAACATATATCATGTCCTAACAAATAAATGAATGTATTTTAGGAAACACACATCTTGTTACCCCAGATTTCTTGTGACAGCATATTATGAATGAGCTGAGTAACAGCTTAACCTGTTAACCTGAACACCAGAACGCGAAGCTGTACTGTCTCATACAGACTTTAGCTTGCCTTCGTAAAGGCCTTAACCTGCAATGTATTATAATTCACTCTAGATTCAGAATGAGCCAACCACCTTCTGCCTCAAGACCTGAACGAAAAAGAAAAGGTCTACCCAGACCACAGACTAAAAGATGTCCTAATGTACTACTGACTTGGATTTATGGACAAAACAATGTAAAGGTCGTCAACGGCAAGCAAGAAACAGGGCCGAAGTGCTCCTCTAGAGGCAAGAACAGTAATCAACCATAGCGAACTTTGTTTACAAACTAGGTTGAGATGGCGTAAGGAGAATTTTACATGGGATCACCGACACCCTTTGCTTCTCTCCCCATTCACACTTCCCCAACTAAAGATGCAAATATATTACTTCAAAAAGGCAGATCTTCTTTACCACTGAGATACTCCAACAAGGGAGATACATTCTCACAAATATATATGGACCTGAAGTGACTTCTTCTTAACCCCAGAGTACACTAAAATACTCAGTCCACACTCTAAGGTAAATGTAGCAGGTGTGCAATATAGAAATGTCCAAAGAGAACTGAAAAAACATTGCAGGCACAAGGAGCTATCAGTGCCCTAAACAAAACTCTCCAGAAAAAACTATTAAATGTCGAACTTCATAACTTTAGAAATGTTTATAGCAAATGTAACTAAGCAGGGAATGATGAAGGACTTGGAGAAAATATTAGTTTATGACAGCACAGAACATAGTTCTATAATCATGAAATATAAGTGATCAGGGGAAGGGACAAAGAAAAAAATCCCAATTCCTGATCCTAGGCCTGATGCCATTTTCAGAAATGCCCGATCAGTCAACAGCAAAAGGAGGTGCTAGCTATAAAACCAACTTTACAACCATGAACATGAAGTCGTGGCCAGTACAGATGATGTTAATAAAACAAAACTCCCAGTGACATGCTTCAGTGTATATGAAGCCACAGCTGGCTGTACATGTGGAGAGGGCTGTGCTCAGCACCACCCCGCGCCGGTGGCCTCAGGGCTGTGCACCGGCCTCGGCTCTGCAGGCTCTCACCACGGTTCAGTAGCTCCAGGTCATGCAATACAGAGGGCATTGTTTCCTATTTAGTGTCCACCTACTCCAGATGAAGCCACCCCAATGTCTCCTGACAGAGGCCAGCATGAAGTTACTTCCGAGAAAAGGACATTTACTCTTTTTAGCTCACATTTCCATGCTAACAAAAATGCTAAAACTGAATGTAAAGTCTCCTTGAGTAATTAAAAAAAAGACAACTGCCTTAATGAAAATATACTACATTTATTGGCTCTTTTCCCTCATGTCATAAATGTTCTGTTTGATAAAAACCACAGTTATATTGCTGAAACATAACTCCATTTGGGATCTGAATTAAGCTATCATTAAGTTTTTAGAAAAAGGTTGCCTTACCTATGAAATTTTAAACTTCAGATATTGAAAGAACAGAAGCATCAAGTATACAATTAACCCAGAACAACTATGGAAATTAGTAAGGGAAGGGGGTTTGTTAATGGTTCTGGTGACGCTGGACCTGGTGAAAAGACAAGAATGTTGTCATTTGACAGAAAAAGCTCTGTTATTTAAGAGCAAAGAGAAGTACAAGTACTTTTTAGCTAGTTTTGCTAACATAAAACTAGAGGGTTCTACAACTATATCATATTACTATCATTTCCTTGGCTGCATTTACACTTAGGGGACATGAGGTGAAATTATGAATGAATTCAGAATAAAAATGCCAAATCTCAGTCAACTCCTGATTCTCCACACAAATCAGATCCTTCACACTAAACATTAGGTAACTCAGAACAACAGGTGGATGGATATTTCTCAAATCACCCTGACTTTGGATGAATCGTTCCCCTTTTTAAGAGTAGTCTGCCTTTTCTAGGTTTAGACTCTTAATTCAGTGTTCTGGGGGTCAATCTGAAGTGTGAGTGACAGACCATCTCCCAGTGAACCATCCATCCATGGATGACTGAGTCCCATGACTGACACTTACTCCAGGCAGCGCACTGCACATGGACACTACGTGCCAAGCATGCGTCAAGAGTAACCGCTGACACCAGTGAGAATGAGGCAAGATGGCTGAGACTGCCCCCCCCCCACCCGAGAGTGAAACGTGCTAATGTCCAGTCAGGGATTGCCAGCTAGCTTACCTCCTGCAGGAGATCGGCCTGCTCAATGGCTTTAAGCACATTTTTCTTGGATGTTTCTTGAACTTCTCCTCCCAAAAGAAACTCATCCAAAATAAAATAAGCCTTCTCAAAATTAAAGATGATATCAAGTTCACACACCTGAAAAGCAGAAATAAACAAGATATCTAGATGTAGTAGGTAAAGTCAAAGAAAGCAAAAGCAAAATACTACCACTATCAGGTAGTAAATAAAATCTGACTAGCGTGAATCAATCTTAATTTGTTCTAAAAATGGCAGTCTTGCTAACCAAGCCTCCTTGATTTAGTCAGCTTAACATGTCAAGCACACCTAGGCATTGAAAACACAATGTAACACCTGATGCTGCAAGTTTCCAACAAGGTCAACTTAATTTTCTACACATAAAAACGTATCTTCTTAAATACCTATTTTCTGGCCAATGTACTATACCTGTTACCCAGGTCTAAACCCACACCAAGCACTTCCAAACTATTAATGTTACCGTTTCACCATTAAACCCACTCTCTCCACCATAATTCAATGAGTTGGTCAAGCAATTCTGGTTAGTAACTGACTAGGCACACAGACAAGAAACAGTTACTCATTTCCTGCAGTTATTTTCAAACAGAATTCCTAAGACAATCAAATAATAAACCTGTTATAGAAAAGATTAAAAAAATACTATGGCATGTATTTCCTAAAAAAAAAAGCTACTCACACTGCCAAAGTACTTGTCAAGTAATTCCACATAACGATGAATTATTTCCAGGGTAATTAGTTCATTGTCCTGATCCTCAATAGCACAGCAGAAATACAAACTAGCATATCTGTAATAAAAAACAGATGTGAAAATATTTTACTCTATAATCATGTTTTCTGAATATATTTTCATATCCTATTGTGAAAGACTCTACGCTTACACAGTATTTTCCACTTTACAACAGTATAGACTATGCTTCTTATAAAGTACAAAAGTAATAAATGCATAGAAGGGACATTTTTAAAAGTATAGACAAGCAAAAATAAAAAACCCATCACAGCATCTAAAAGAGTATGAATAATCTAAAACACCGCTGACCTAAGTTGTGAAGTTTACTAACAAAATACTACATGGTTATTTCAAACTACAAGTAAACAGGGTAAATAAAGTCTCCAACTGAAATAATTATTGACTATACTGTTAACATGATGTCAGTGTTCTGGAAAGCCTAATTGAAGTAGAATATACAACACAACGGGCAATTACATCCCCTAGCATTAACGCAAACTAATACACAACACACAAATTCCAGTTGTGGGATTCAGTGTATTCCTGTTCTTCAGCATGAGAATAACTAGTATCTACATAGCACTCAATTTCAATATCAAAAACATTTTTTCATCTTACTAGATTTTTTCCACCTTCATGATTATAGGTCAAAAATAAAAAGACTGGCCTTTCCTGGTGGTGCAACAGGTTAGGATGCAGCACTGCAAGGTGGCTGCAGCTGCTTCAGTTGGATCCCCAACCTGGAGGTGACCCACATGGCGCGGCAGACCTCTCCTGTCTCACCCACTGCTCCCCTCAGTGTACTTGTGAATCTGCCTGCTCAGCTCTCCACTCTGTCTCTAGTGAATCCTCTCACTGCCCTTGTACCTCTGGCCTGTATGCATGCACGCATGCATGCATGCATGCATGCATGCATGCATAAATAAATAAATAAATAAATAAATAATAAAAAGACTGGGTAACACAGGGTCTGCCAAGAGGCGGCACTGGCACAAGAAATAAGAAAAAACCTGATCTGACCTAACCTCCACGCCTCCCCTCCACCTGGACCCACCACCCCACCCTGCCATTCACATACAGCAGGCCTTCAGCCACACCCACTCCACCTGACTCCGGGTTCAGTAAACCATTATTTAGCCTGTGGGGCTCAGCGGTCTCGCAGCAGAGATGTCACACGGCTCACTTCTACCACGAAGATACAGTAACACTGCCTCTAACTTCATCGCTTCATCTCTCATTACTACACTTTCACTGCTTAAAAGGGATGGTGCCCAGCTCTCCACCAGCCCTAACCCATGCTCCCTTAATGGGAATCCGAATGGGGGAAGCTGATACAAATGACACATCAGATTCCCTGAATGAAGAAAACTAAAGATCAAAGGAACAGACATTGGGAGTAGTAGATAAAGTAGTATAAGAAGAGTGCTAAATAATACATTACATAGACCTTGATAACAGTTTAGGCTAAAGTTCCTTTTACTCTTATTCTCAAGATTTCCTCAATGTTACTGCTGCTACACTGCTTCTTTACTCACAAATGCGAGAGCTCTTAATTAATAGCTAAAGGTCCTAAATTGTACAAAGCATTCAGAATTATTAATTTAAATATCAAGTGTCGATGCACCAATCAGTATTTAAAAAAATCAACACCCAAACCTCAGTGTTTGCTTTCACTCAGCAGAGAAAAAGAACCACCCCCAGTAATGAATTCTTTGTTGAGATGAACACATAATTATCAGGACTATAAGGCACCTCTGACCAGAAAGCTTAGGGAAGAAAATCACGAGCATAAGGAGTAGTAGGTAAGACATTCACCCAGGCCACACAGAGAAGGAGGCCCTCATGTTGGCTGGGGCTTTTGTGTGTTGCTATTTGAATCCTGTCAGGGAGAGACTGGTCATTACTTGCACGACCGGGAGACCTTGCCTTAGTGGGTAACCTGCCCAGGACCAGCCTCTAGACTCCAGAGTTTTATATTACGTTTTATATTAAGGGCTATAGCCAGGAACTGCATTCAATCAAGTATCCTTCTCCTGGCAAAACTTAAAACACTGTCAAAGTAATAGTTTAAGAGCTTTGAAGAAAGAACAGAAACTGCTATTCTGATTTCGTAAAAGATTACCAAGAGAACCTACAGTGCACTCCCTATTTTTAGAACCAAGTGGTTTTTTAAAATTCAATAATGAGTTCATTTTGTTCTCTTAGTGCATATTTGTGATCTAAATCTGAAGTAAAATTAATAATAGACTAGTAAGAAGAAAGGTATGTTTGGTTATTTTTAGCAGCGTGGATTAAGGATTACTCTAATTACTGGTACTGAGAATGTCTCAAAGTGCCTATTCTTATATTCAAAACACATGACTTGTCTGCAGTCAGCTAAATATCAGCTGACTGTGGGTGCATGTAACTAAACTGTTCTCAATACTCACTAGTATGCCATTAGAAATTTTCAGTAAAGAAAATCAATATAGTAGTCTTTCACAAATGCTCCAGTTACCAATTTGGAGATGTATTTTTTAATTAATTTTAAGACTGTAATCCAATGGCTCTTCCTAAAATGCTGTATGAAACAGGAATCAAAACAACATAGTGTCTTGAAGGGATCTTCAAAGACCAATCATTTTAGAGATGAGGAAACAAAAGCAAAATGATATATTCAAAGTCAAAAACCAGCTAGTGACACAAAAGGAACAGAAATCAAGTCTCCAGATTTTCAGTCTATATTTCAGTCTATATACTGTCATTCTCCAGCCAGTCTCACTCAGCCCTCCCCAAGAGGGAGAACTGTTATGTAAAATACTCTGGATGAGGAATGCAGGTGAGACAGCCTGGGGAAGACCTAAGATTACTTGCTGATATGAACAGCATATAAGTGTTAGTTTAGAATTTCTCAGAAGCTAAAAGGCCTTCTCTTTCAGCTAGACAAGGGGAAACATGTCTGTTTACATCAACAAAAAGTATGCCCTTAAGTGCTATATCAGATGAGGTTTGCAATATGAAATGAGGGAAGGGTGCGCCTGTAGAAAAACTTAAATAGTTATATAAATCTAACTTGTATGTGTGAATTATATCTCAGTGTTTTGTTTATTTTTTTGAAGTCCACCATTTACTTGCAGGACCTTGATGTAAGGATCAGAGTCAAATCAGATTACTCTCTTACAACCTTTAAAAGGACAGTGGCAGC